CCTTTCAAAGCTAATCTGCTACATAAGTGATCTAATATAACCTGGGTCATGTTTTATTTATTAATAGATCCCTTATTCCTTAAATTTTGTATGACTATAATTCCTTAGTCTTACTACAACAAATACCTCTTGTAACAGTGCAGAATCCCAGGATATCGTGCTTTGAATAATAGTTTATTGCAAATCTTTGAAACCACTCTGCTTTTTTTTAATAACTCCAAAGCTTTATCGAAAATGAATAATAAAACTCACTATTTCTGTAATTGTGGCGTACTGATATAGACTTGGAAAATATTTTGCATTTTGAGTGTAAGGAATCCACATTTTTCAGATTTTTTGAACATATTAAACCATTCTGACTTTAGAAAGGAAAAAAATTCATTGCATTTAGTCTTACTCTAACTGGAGCATTAATGTATTAATTATTTGAAATCAGAGAAAGATATTTGGCATCACAGTCGTTGTATTTCCTTCACTTTTATTTCTGCTCTTTCAGGACCATTCAATAGCTATGTTTTTCCTTCTCCACAACTTGATAGTAGGGAGTGAGGACTACAGAGGAGATTTTAATACAGATTGCAACCTGGAAAATGTCCAAGTAGGATTTCTTTTAAATATTGTCTTTCTCATTTGATAAATGAGACAAAGAAAAATTAATACCCATTTTTGGAGAATGCAACAGAGAAAACATGAATTTATTCCATTAATCAGTGCTATTGAGTAACATGTCTTTCCTTCTGCAGGCGTGGTGTCAATAAGTAACCTGAATCTTTAGTGCCTGCTAAAGCTTTGTTCATCTGTTCTGAAACTAAAAAGAAAATTGCTTTTAATTTAATATGACTATTTGAAAATGAAATGATGACATATGTTTCAGTTACAGCTGGTGTTTCTGGAACTCTGCTAGGTGAAAGTCGTTTTGCTAACGTGTCCTCATTTCGATAGGTTTTCTACCTGCTGCAGTACTAGCAGAACATGAAGCAAAGTTTATAACATTAACTATCCAATTCAAATACTGATATCAAATGTTCACTTTCATCCAACTTTAGCGCAGCTAGAAGCTGCTAATGAAGTCTAAACTAAACTCTAATGTTATTGGTGTAATAAAAATGGTAATTTTCTTTGCAGCAACAATTAATGGTAGATACACAATTATTTTCAGAAATCAAAAATTTGAGCCAAATTGGCTCAGGTACATCTGTACCAACTCTATAATTCCAATGAGGCTGCAAGCATGTAGGTGGAAGAGCAGAGTTTAAATACATTTCACATTTTATGTTCAAAGAGAATTGCATCTCATTGTGTAAATGTAACACATTCCTGAACTGAGTAAGTGAATGATCTTCTCCTTTGAGGTAAATAACTGCGGCTCCTCGGTAACTACCAAAGAAAAGGGGAAGGGGAAAGCAAAGTTGGAAGCGCACTACAGAAAGCTGCTTGATAATGTATTTTTGCAGGTAGAAAGCAAATCTCCAACAATACATAGTTATGCTTGTAAATAAATCAGAGATCCAGTTCCAGGTTTGCTACACTCCAGTCTGCTGTAGAAAGCTATTGTAAGTTACAATCTGAAAACTTCAACTTTCATTTTAGTTTCGTATACCTAGTCTCTGTTTCTTAAAATATAGGGTAGTAATGCCAATTAAAAAGGAAGGATTGACAGGAAGCTATAACAATGTGAGTAGTTTGCATAGCAGCAGACAAAAAAGGAGGAGGACGTCAGGAATAAAGATAATTTAAGTTGGAATGTATTCCCTATATAAAAAATTTCAGTAAAGGCAAAAGAGTAACAAGTTGCCACTAAATCTCAAACTTAAGCAGTCACAAAAACTTATATGTAGAAGTTAAGTAAATAGAGCACTGCAACTTAGCTTTCTTCTAATAATGGCTATTCCTCCCCAAATTCTACCTTTCCAAATACAAAAAAATCAAACTCATCATGGAGAGAGTGGAAATAATCAATAAAGCCTATATTGTCTTTATGTTTTCCAGATACATTTCATAAGCCTTGCAAGGAATGAGTAAGCATTTTCAGCCAAATCAGAACCTTGACTCTGCTCTGTCCCGCTGAGCAGCATTCCCTGCAGATCCTGGTATCACAGATTCCCTCTCTTAGAGAGAAAGGAAATTCAAGGAAGATGGAAAGTTCGTAGATAGTAGACTGACAGGGAAGATAGACAAATGGGTTCACTACCTGACACTACAATATTAAAATGTTTTTATTCTTTCACTCCTTGCTACAGCTTTGTCTTATAGAGACTGCACCCTAAGGAAGGAAGAATTGAATTTAACAGAACAGTATATTGTAGAATGTCATATATTTGCGTCTCATAAGAGACGGATATGGTGAAATAAATGTGGATACTGAATATCTATACTGAAAACAATTTAATTGCTTAGTCTTTTTCCATGATCTCTTACTGCTAGTTCATGTTCAGTGTTTGTGTTCGAATAAAGTGCTTTTCCACAATCCAGAATTTCTAGTGTTATGTCCCTGTTTTTGTTAGCACTTAAATTTATACTAAAAACTTCATCACCCATTCTGCAGTGCATACACGAACTACATTCACAACAGGCTACCTCATTATAGGAGCCCTGGGGTGTATTACATTTTAATAAAATTATTTTCTATAAAGAAATAATCACATATTCAAATAAATAACATGCAATGTCAGCTGATTGATCATTGAATAGTCTCCAGCAGCAGCATAGGCACTAAAAAAGCTGGGCTGCTATTGGATGGATCCCAGTAGCAGCTGTGAGGTGAAAAGAGAATGACCCATAGGTAATACGGCTTTCTGTGCATACCAAAGGAGTACAGAGATTGCTCTCCATGCTCCATCCTTCTCCCTCTTCAAGTCCATAGTGCAGGTTCTCTGACAAATGGGCATCTGTCAAGGGACATTTTCATGAGGGCAGCAGTCTGCTTTCTGCTTGCGGAAAGGAAACCTTATATAATGAACACCGTTCTGCCCAAAAATTAGCACAGAACAGGCTCCTTGTGTTGGGTGACCATAAAGATAAACAATTCAGATGAAAAATGTGGTCTAGTCAGTGCGAATTTGAAGAAATTCAGTATATATTAATGGAAATATTTCGTTTATTGCAGTTGTATTCAAATATTGACAACATGACAATTCTTTCTTCTGCAATAGGGCTTTATAAAGGAGTAAGTTCATAACTTCATCATCAACAATATAGAATGATGTAGAATGATGGGTTTTATATTGGATACCTTTTTTGTCATTGTTTTTTTTTTTGTCATTGGGTAATTAATTGTCATGTCCAGGTGTATAAAATAAGGAACCTCCTAAATTAGGTATGAGTACAGAAGCAAAATCTTCATTTTGTGTTGGAAGAGTAAGCTGAAGGTGACATTTTCACACCTTATTTGTTATCCCCCAAATCATAACAATGCCAAACAAGTATATAACCAAACAAGTATACCGTAACACAACCAAAACAAGTAGTCCTCTACTCCATTTTAAAAAAAACAAAAGACAATGAAAGCAATCATGGCCAGCGTGAGCATTGCAACTACAGTCTCAATGACGAGTATTAGCAAAAGGGCATGCTGAATCCAGATCACAAGATAATTACTATTAGCTGTGGCAAATAAAAGTGAAATGTTGTGTTTACATTAACAAACAACATTTGTAAGAACAGTATTTAAAATTTCATTTCAATATTTTTAGAAAGCTTGGTGCTTACAAAACTGCTTCAAATTAAGCCTTGTTTCTAATAAAACTCTAAATCAAAAGATATGTCTAGAGAAAACAGCAAGCGTGCTAGGCATTTAATTTATAGTGATAAATCATATTTGCAAAATGACACTGTCATTGTTTGAAAAACACAAAGTGTTGCTAAAGTACCTGCTTGTGAAACTGATTGTGTCCACACACCAAAGCTAAACAAACTAGCTTTTGCCAGTAAGCACCCAAGCTACTAAGCCTGGCCGCTAACTGTGAAAATGACCTGCGGAGGTAGCATTACCGCTTCTGTTACCTGAGCTGGCTTGCAAGGAGCTAGCTGCAATACTTTTGCGCAACTCTAAAGTGCTCCATGCCCCTCTCCTTCCCTGCTGGCTCTGTCCTTCCTACCATTTTTTCTCCTTAGAGCTGTGACTTTTCTAGGTAGAAACTCTTATATCTTTATAGCAGCTTTTGCAGAATAGGATCAACTGGTTGTTCAGGTACCACTATAATAACAATACATGAACATACATTATTGTTTCGTATTAAGAAATTGTGAATAGAACATTTATATTCTCTTTGGTATTTGTAATATTCACTTACAATTCTGGCACGAACCAGGAAAAGGGAAATGGCTTTTATTCCTTTATTCTTTTTATTTTGAAATGAGACAGGCAAGGACCAACCTATGTGCCTAGTTAGTCCTAACATATTTTCTGTGCTAGCTGTAATAAATGTACTCGTCCTGTGCACTGATCTCCCTGTTTTCACGTGACTCCATTAGAGATATCCCCTGCATATATAGAGATGCCTCAGCAAAGCCTGAAGGCCAAACTTCTTGGGTTTCAGTCTCATTAAAAAAAAACTAGTAATAGTATCCCAGTATCTTTGCCATCCTTCCTTACCAGTTTCCTTATAACAAGCACTACAGATATTATGAAATTAAATAAGCGTATATAAGATTGAAGAAAATTACAAAGGAACGTAGGCGTTTCCTTGCCGGTTTGTCTACATTACCATACTGCCTGTGATGGTGACCGTTACTAGTACCTCTAGATGCATCTGAAAAGAACATACATGAAGAAAATCCAAACAGGAAATGACTTTCAGTCTCTACAGATCTGAATTATTTTCGAAGTGGCGATGCAATGACGACAGCTTCTGCACTCTCCTGAGTTATCCCGAAATAAATGAATTAAATGACTCCCCTGTTTCTTCTTCTTCTTCTTCTTTTTATTTTTCATTTAGACCACCATATCAAATAGTGCATTTCAGTAGGCATAGGGGTACTTCTGTGCTGGAGGCATTGGCCTACAGACGCTGCTCATTCAACAGTCTGTTCCAGTTTATAAAAGTGCGAGTGATAGGGAGTTTCCTCCGCAGATTTTTCCCCCATATGTCCTCCGACAAGGCCTGCATGTTCTCCAGAATGGCGACGTGCAGCTTGGTGTCCTCAGCTTTCACAAATTTCACAAAATCGATGGCAAGCTGACTTCGGTCTATCACCTTCAGCGGTTCACTCACAGACTTACTGACAGTTACGTGGAGGTTGGCACCGTTGAAGTAGTGCATTTGGAGGAAGAAGATCCCCGTAACCTGAGTGGTGGCTGGAGTCAGGGCCAGGGTCCAGTCGGACTTCCAGAGGCCATTCCAGTATCCCGACGGCTGGTAGTGGTGAGCCTCAATGCAGGCCACAAAGATCTGCGTCTCCCTCACGTTTTTTCGGAAGACGGAGCAGTTGCCTGCGGGGAAGTGGCAGCTCACGTACGCTGCCAGGCCCTTCTGGAGGGCCCCTCTCCACAGCTCCCCCTCATCCAGCAGCACGTCATGAAGCTGGTACTGGCCGGCCAGCCCACTCAGGTGGTCAAACGCAAAAGATAGTTTGTCCTGCGGGTCAAAGAAGCGGTTTCCTCCTAAATCGTTGTAGCGGGTCACGAGCACGGTGTGCCCGTTTATTCGGGCTGGGGGGAAGTGGCTCTTGTTGTGCCGGGCCCGGGCACGGGTGGCCTCACGCCTCAGCAGCTCCTGGTCCTGCACCAGCGCCTGGAGGTCCTGGACCACCTGGGCGAACTCTCCAGGAGGGGCCTGATGCAGCAGGCTGCAAACCAGAGGCGCCTGCTCCGGCGCCGG